GATATTAATTATGTAGGATTAAATCTTTAACAATTGTTGCTTGCTTTAATAAGGCATTCATCATCTCATTCTCAGGAGAAGAAACACTGAGGAATTATTGATAGCTCTTGACACAATACTGCATAACAGACAGATTCATTCGCACCATTCTGTAGCAAGACAGGTGAAACTTGAGGTTGAAAATTGACGACAGACACAACTACCATGGGGTGGTGAGATGAGGATGCTTAGAAAAATACATATAACATCTTTTTTTTTTCTGGAGAGCAAACAGTTCTTTAACAATCTTTGTACTCATTTCAGGGTGTTACTACCCTTATTCTCACTTATTAACTACTGCTTTTACCTTAATAAACTCCTAATTACTGCTTATTAATAGTAAGTAAGGTAGTTGTATAGGATTAAGGGATGTAGAATATGCTCATGCAAAATAAGGCATTATTATGTGCTTTATAAATACTAACAAACAGCTAATATCCTAGTATGTATATGCTTGCTATTAAGCAACTAGTTAAAAGTGAGAATTGGTCCCTAAACTAAAGTGTTACCCTTCTTTTAAACTAAAAATGAGAAAGTATATTTTTGATGTACTTCTTAGAAATTTTTTAAGTATAAGTTTTGCACTTAAAGGAGTAGTTCACTTTTAAAAAAACTTTTGCTGATAATTTACTCACCCCCATGTCATCAAGATATCCACGTCTTTCTTTCTTCAGTCAAAAAGAAATGAAGGTTTTTGATGAAAACATTCCAGGATTTTCTCCATATAATGGACTTCAATGGGAACCAAATGGTTCAAGGTCCAAATAAGAGTTTCATTGCAGCTTCAAAGGGCTTTAAATGATTCCAGACGATGAATAAGGGTCTTATCTAGCGAAACGATCGCTTATTTAAAAAATAAATAAAGTTGAAGTTTTATAAGCTCAAATGCTCGCCTTGCTCTGTTCTGTGATGCGCGTTCGTGACTCTCTTGTTCGAACTCGTTCATCAAAAAGAACGAATCTTTTTCCGAGTCATTTGGTTTATTCAACGAACGGAATGACTCGAAAAAATATTAGTTCATTTCATTTCGAACAGGAGAGTCACGAAAAGTGCAAGATGAGCATTTGTCATCTGGTGTTGTTTAAAGCCCTTTGAAGCTGCACTGAAACTCTCATTTGGACCTTGAACCATTTGGTACCCATTGAAGTCCATTATGTGGTGAAAAATCCCGGAATGTTTTTATCAAAACCTTAATTTCTTTTCGACTGAAGAAAGAAAAACACTACTCATTTAAGTATACTTGACTTATAGTAACAGAAAAGTCTAAATATATTTGGCCTATAGTTGTACTCTTTTAAATTCAAAATTTTAAAGATTTAAAATCTTTTAAATTGTCACTGACCCCAAACATACTGTAGTAAAGTAAAGTAAAGAATATCCGGTTAGTACTTGGTGTACAAGTGATGACCCTGGTGTAGTTTGTTTAAAAAGCATGGACACAGTTATTTTTCTGGCTGACCACGTCACATGATTTTGTAGGAGTTTCCCTTTCAGAAGCAAAATGAATGGGAGAAGAGTATTTTAATGAATCTTGCAAGGTTTGCAGTAGTCAGTTTGGCTTTTTTACACCCCAAAAAAGCATGTCTTAACCCATTTTGCGCCTGACATGGCACTGAATTTGCTCATTGTAACTCGATAGATCGCTTGTTTTTTTTTTTTTAATAGCGGCTGCATGCTAACTTGCCCTGTTTAGTAAATCTGGCCCAATCTCTTCAACTTCATTCTAAGTCCATATATTGTCATTTCTGGTCAATGTCACAACTTTTAAAATTAACTACACATTTAGGGTAATTGTTGTTTGTTTGTCACTCCTTAGAAATCGCACTGAAAGAAGGAGAAAGAAGTCGTTTAATGATCCTTCGAGGCTATATATGCAAAGTCTCAGCACTTGTCAGCTGAGTAACTGGTCATTGATTTCTCAATCGCGCACGCAACTAGACACGGCAAACTTCACACATCTCCCAGCGGGGTCAAGTGGTGTCCATGCCTGAAACTTTGAAACTTCGAGTAGCTTGTTTGTCATCTCTTTGCTGTAATTAAAAATGCTCATTTGAGCTTCTTCCAGGCCATGGGGTGGACTGAGAAGTGCCCTTCAGCTGTGCCCACTGGACCCCTCCTTACGAGTAGCAAACACTTATCTCCCATCATGCTCAAAGAGTGGGAGTGTGTCCCCTAGAGCGAGCGTGTCTTGTAGGGGGGTTGGGGGGTTGTGAAGAGCCCTTGGACTCATTTGTGCACAGTGAACTGTGACCGCTGAGCCGCGGTCCAGGTACAAACCACAAGAGGGAAGCTCCTGTAATGATGTTTGTGTGTGGAGTTGGTGGATTGTGGGTTCAAAGCAATTACTGGTTAACAGTCTTTGACGGAAAGAGAACATTTTTTGACTTTTCCCCCAGAAAGGGGGATTTTATTTTATAAACCATAACTTTTAAAGCTATATAGTTTTGCAATGTGGCCTAAAGATTACTACATTTACCCTGACATCCATGCATTCAAATCCGCCTTGTGATATTTTCTGACTTTGTTCTTTATTAATAAAATGTAGGCAAAAAAATCCCCACCCTCAATATTTAGTTGAAATCACAGTTACAGATTTAAAGTGAATAAAACTGAAGCCTAAAGGTGTAGTCATCTAGTCATCATGTGTCTGTTGTTCAGGGAATTTTCATGGATAAAATAGTAATTTCTATAGGAATCTTACAATTACAAATTGATTTTACAATTCTAAATGACATACTGTATATTTCAGAAAAAAATATAATAAGAATCTGGTAACAATTTAATTAATGCCTTTATAATGCATTATAAAGGTATTTATAATGCATTTAATATTTTCATAAATAATGGTAACCAAAGTTTGACTGATTAAGGATTATTGAATCTGTTTTAAGTCTTTGTAAACTGATTATTGTGTTATATAATGTATCAAAACTGTGATTACAATTAATCATGAGAACATCCAATTCATTTTAAGGTGCATAATTAATGCATTAAAATAGTTTTATAATACATAATTCCACTATTTGACTTTAATTACAGATTTTTGTGAATATTTTGAATGAAAGACTCATACTTACCAAGGGTGCCAACATTTGTGGAGCTCAATGAAATTGCGGCAAAGTTAACGTGCGTTTTGGGAACACATCATTTAATAAGGTGCAGAATTAAAACAATTTGCTTGCATGAAAAATTGAACCACTTTTACAATTAACCTGTTAGGCGAGTTTGAAAAAGAGTTGATTTCATCGTACGGGTTTCCATCCATCTTCTTGTCGTTCAGCTATTCTAAATAAAGGCACCATCAATCAAATCCCGGCAGCCTTGCTGCTCTCCCGGAGTCGGAAACGTTTTCTTCAGCTCACTTACTTTTCATTCTCCTGAAAATACACATGCTCAGAAAATGGGTTAACCTGAAAAAACCCCACAGACTCAAGAGTTTAGACATCTTTAATGTTTTCTGTTTGTTCGCTGTAATGCAGAGTTTAACGTCAATGCACTGAAATTTACGTCAACACCACATTATTTTTGAGAGAAAGAGAAAGTTGGAGATTGTGAAAAACAGGAAATGATGGATGATGGTCAATCATCCTCTAGAACAAAAGGTGGATCACTAATAGATCAAGTTCACTGTGAGCTTTGTGTTTGTGTCATCTTTTGTTCTGCTATATTAATGGTGTTGGTGATTCTATTATGAATGGAATTTGCTTTAAGATTCAAAGAGGGTTAAATGTAAGATTAATTTGCTCTTAACATAATTAAGGACTAATATAAAGGAATCTGATTAATGTTATAATGACGTTAAACTCTGGAACTACGCGCCATCATGGAGCTGCCCCTGTTCAAGGCCAGGTTGAAGCACCATCTTTTTAGATCAGCTTTTGACACTGGACTGACAGCTGATTAGCAAAATGATTTTATAGAAGTGGTGTTTTTTTTTTCTTTCTGTCTTTTCTGTATTGTGTTTAACCCTTGTGCTGCATTAGATTTTTAACACCGTTGAGTGCATTAAGGACCAAAAATGGCCACATATTAAACATTGCCTAAAAATTATATATTATTATTATTTTCCACTTTTACCAAGTTAAATCTTTTAACCAGCATCAGTCCTCATCATAACTACCAAAAATGTATTCAATTTCAGGATTTTAACCCTTTAATTACCAGTTTTGTTTGCGAAACCATCGATTTGTATAAGAGGAAAAAACACAAAAATTCAATTATTTTCAATAAACTAAATGCAAAGAGAAAACTTTAGATTTGGATTATCACAGTCCCACTTTGCAAAAAATCCCACTTAGCGCGTTAGAGACCAAAAATGGCCACCTATTAAACATTGCCTATTGCCTAAAATAAGGTGCATTTCCACCCATAGGGAATAAATATGTAGTGGCGTCATCTGGTGGAATACACTATATAATGCAAATATAATGCTTTTGCTTCAAAATGAAAGGATGTTTGTGCAAAAATCATGTTTCATGTATTACCGACAGCCTCAGATTTAAAAACGTTTTAATGGGTTTCAATGGGCCATTTTTGGTCTTTATGGTGCTGAGTGTTACTATTTGATCTACACAGTGTGTGTTATACATATTTTGCAAAATGGGATCACATTTTTTACATGTATCCAAAAAGTCACAATTTTGCCAAATTTCATACCATTTGCATTAAAACAGCCAAAATGGTCAAAGAAATTAAACTGCAAAAGACCAAAAATGTCCCTAATGCAGCATAAGGGTTAATGTTGTTGTTTTTTTTCTTTTTCTCTGTCCAGCGCTTTGATCAACTCATGGTTGTTGTAAAGCGCTATATAAATAAAAAATTGATTGATTGATTGATAATCTCAGATGGGATCATTTCTTAATTGCTTTAGTATTGGTTTTAGAGAGGGGCCAAAGAGAAATCAAATGAATATGTGTTGACTTGAATGTATTAATGAATATGCATTGTTTTTGTTTTTCAAGAACAACTCGAGGAGGACCAATTACACAGTAACGGAGGTGAGGCACCGTCAGTTTCGTCTGTTGTCGTTGTAGTGTTTGCGTATCAGTCAACTTCAGTACTCTACATTCAGAATCACTTTGCTCTCAATCACACGTATCCTTTCATCTCTCTGTCTGTTTGTCATGATAGATGCAGTCTGAGTCTCTTCACTGTTGACATCCTTCATCTGGCACTTGGTATCAAACTCATCTTCTCTTCTCTTCTCTTCTCTTCTCTTCTCTTCTCTTCTCTTCTCTTCTCTTCTCTTCTCTTCTCTTCTCTTCTGTCATTTCATGCTGTCTCATCTCTTTCTGTTTGTCTGAAAAGGTTTACGAAGTCTTTTTTTATTGATTAATTTTCAAAGTTATTTAGGTAAACACTTGGACTATATATTTTTTATGAAGTACAAACTGATTCATATTCAAATTAATTCAAATTATTTTGAGTACATATTATGTAAAATAGATATATATTTTACAGATTTTTTTTATCAAGTTCAGTTTATTCGTTGAAACTGATTAATTTTCAAATGAATTATATTAGTAAATATGAAGTGAAAATAAATATTCACTTTACAGATTTATTTTTTGTCAATTTAGTTCAATTTATTTGTTTAAATTGATTCATTTTCAAATTATTTTAGTAAATATTAATTTTACATTTTTTATTAAGTTAAATTTATTTGTTCAGATATTTTTTGTCATATTATTTGTGTAAATAAATAAATATTTATTTTACAGATTTGTTAAATAAATTTTAATTTATATTCAAATTGATTTAATTTAATTTACATATTTGTTCAATTAAGTGTAATTTGTTCAAATTGATTTTTTCAAATAAATTATTTTATTAAATATTATTTAAAAATAAATTAATTTGTGTCGATTCACTTTCTTCTCTAAGATATCGGCTTTAGGCATATAACATTTTTTTTGCCTCATCTCATCTTTTTTCTTCTCTTGTCATCTCATGTAACCTCAACTCACCTCTTCCCTTCTCTTCTTCTTATTTCATCACCTATTTACTTTTCTTATTACTTGTCATCTTATCTCATTTCTTCTTCTCCAGTGTTTCTTCTCTGATTTACCTGTTCCTCTTTATTCTGGCCAGTACAAACCTCCAACTCTCACACTGTGTGTCCACAGCATCCAAGCAGGACTGGTCCATTCAGTGGCCCACGTCTGAGTCGGGTAAAGAGAACACCCCAGTGGGGCCGTCGGACCCCAGTCAATGGGTCCGTCTCCAGCTCTCCCAGAGCCCCAAATTGCACTCGCGCTATAGCCAGCACTTGTGCCAGAGCCCCCAGGCCCTGGCGCCCCCCTTTTACTCCCCTCACCTGCACTCAGACCGGCTGACCGTAGACCCTCACTCCGGCCTCTTCCCCTCGCCTCTGGATACGGGACATCACTCTCTCCCTCCTTCCCCCAGACAGAGGCACTTTGCCCATACTCCTCCACGGACTCCCTTAGTAGTGAACACCATGACTCCTCCAGGGACGCCGCAGGTCAGGCGCAGGAATAAACTGAAGGCCCCCGGAACCCCCCCGCCCGCCAGCCGGAAGCTCATCCACCTTCTGCCGGGGTTCACGGCTCTGCACCGCAGCAAATCCCACGAGTTCCAGCTGGGGAACAGAATAGATGACGCACAGACACCCAAGTGAGTCACACTACATTATACAGCGTTCAGCGTAATGCATTGTAAACGTTGATTTGCCATGTTCGTCTCTAGCTCAGCAAAATCAAGCGAGCTGCTTACGCATTTTAAGGCATCATAAATATGCTTTTGATGCAAAAGCCAAAAGTTTGGAAGCAAAATTAGGCTTCATTTCTAAAATGCATCGCTCACTGCTCATGTAAATCCTCACAGTTACAATCCCAGAAAGCACTGATTAATTAATCAGCATATATATAATTTTATTTCATAAAAAATATATGCAATTCCTCCATCTTGAATAAAAGTCAAGCTTAGTGCAATGAATTCTAAGATTGCTATATATATATATTAATGAAACACTAATAAAACATTAGTTCTGTGTAATAAAACTAATACTATAAAAAAAAATTGTTACTTGTAATAAAACAAAATGTAAAAATGCTTAAGATAAACTAAAATAAAATAAGAAAGTATATCTAGGAAACAAGCAATTTAGAAATAAATGAACTAAAAAACTGAAAAAAATAAATAAACTAAATAATATGAATACAAATAAAATAGTAAAAATACTTAAGATAAACTAAAATAAATGTAAAAATACTTAAGATAAACTAAAATAAAATAAAAAATATATCTAGGAAACAAGAAATTTAGAAATAAATTAACTAAAAAACTGAAAAAATAAATAAACTAAATAATATGAATACAAATAAAATAGTAAAAATACTTAAGATAAACTAAAATAAATGTAAAAATACTTAAGATAAACTAAAATAAAATAAAAAATATATCTAGGAAACAAGAAATTTAGAAACAAATTAACTAAAAAACTGAAAAAAATAAATAAACTAAATAATATGAATACAAATAAAATAGTAAAAATACTTAAGATAAACTAAAATAAATGTAAAAATACTTAAGATAAACTAAAATAAAATAAAAAATATATCTAGGAAACAAGAAATTTAGAAATAAATTAACTAAAAAACTGAAAAAAATAAATAAACTAAATAATATGAATACAAATAAAATAGTAAAAATACTTAAGATAAACTAAAATAAATGTAATAATACTTAAGATAAACTAAAATAAAATAAGAAATTATATCTAGGAAACAAGCAATTTAGAAATAAATTAACTAAAAAACTGAAAAAATAAATAAACTAAATAATATGAATAAAAATAAAATAGTATATCAATGATACTAAAATAACACTTGATTCAAACTGTATTTGTGTATTTTATTTTACTTTTTAGAGTATCATGATAATGGCAAACTATTTTGGAAAAATCTGAAAGCAACAGTCTCCTTGACGCTGTTTTTTTTGTGTGCATGAATAATCAGTTTAGAGCGTAACGTATGAGGTTTCATGATGCACAAGTGCCTTGTGTTGTCTTGCGAGAGAGAAATAGAAGAATAGAGAGACGTTTCTTCCTAGCTTAGATCAGTAAACTGGATTAAATGGCATTAGATCAGTGATTACCAGTCCCCCTGCTCTGATGTGATCCAGACCCTTTCCATACCCCTTTAATAAGGGCCTGGACGCTGAGAATGCCAGCAAATAGGGAAATCCAATCAGGACAAAGCTATTCCGATACCTCCACTAGACCTGATTTGGGATTTGTATTGTTCATTTGAGACTTGAGCAGAGGATAGTTTGTGAACAGGCACTGATATGTTTGCGCAAGGAGGTAGTTGTGTTATATAATAAACCCTTTTGTCATGAAACCATATATTTAGGCATGAACATGCATGGCATAGCAAAAAGTCCAAGCATATTTCACTATCAAGGCCCATTGCTGGATTTTAATGTATGACCAGCACTGGAATTCATTCATGTCAGCTAATCAGCTCATCAGTTGTGAATTCAGATCTACTACATTTTAGCCTCGGGTCAAAGGTGAGAACATTTTCTTGATCTAGTTTTCCAGCATTCTTGGTCTTATGTATAAACTAAAAATGTTTTGGTTTGTGAAATATCATGTAAAAAGCATCACTAATACATTTACATCGGTTGCCCCTGTTAAGATGTAGATGTTGGGCGTTTGTGTGGAAAATAGTGGATGCCAAATTACTTTTGCTGTCTGAACAGTTAAAAGGAAGTACAATGTATTTATATAGCACTTTACAAAAATACAATGTACAAAATACTTTAATAACACAATCATTAAGAAAACATTCATGAATAGCTATACACAAGCAAAATGTAAGATATAAAATATCCAAAACACACAAAAATACATCATATTAAAAGCATCTCTGTACAAATAAGTTTAAATGACATTTAAAAACAGACACACATTCAGTAGATCCAATATCCAGTGGCAAACTATTCCATAACTTTGCCCTTACTGAAAATCTCCTTTTGCTTTTCTCGGAACAGCCAGAAATTAGTTTAAAGAAGATCTAAGACATCTCTTTGTTTCGTAAGGTCAAAAGCTCAGGCACCAAACCATTTAATGCTTTGTATGTCACCAATAAAAACTTAAAATCAATCCTAAAATGAACAGGTAACCAATGTAAAGAAGCTAAAACAGGTGAAATATGATTAAAAAATGTTGTCTGTGTCAATAGTCTGGCCGTAGCATTCTGTACTAATTGTAAATGCGATAAAGTACGATTATTTAAAGAAGAAAACAAGGCATTACTTTAATGAAACCTGAGGATGAAATAAAAGCATGAATAAGCTTCTCTATATCATTAAAACTCAAAAAACACCTTTCTTAACTGATAAAAACAAGACTGAACCAACCAATCTTAACCAACACGACACTGTAAAAAAATATTTTCAAGATTTGTTATTACAACATATTTTCTTTTGTCAAATCAACTTTATAATAATTTATTTAGTTGAGATAACTTATTATTTTGAGTTTCTTTTCCAGTTCAATCAACTTAAAATTTTAAGGCAACCCAGGTTACTTACTTTTTTAAGTTAAACCAACTATTTTTTTTACAGTGTAGTAATCATAACATTTTTTCTTTTGTCAAATCAACTTAAATAATTTATTTAGTTCAGATAACATATAATTTTGAGTTTCTGATAATTAAATCATTCTCCTTCATTGTATTAACTCACTTTTTCCAGTTCAATGAACTTGAAATTTTAAGGAAATCAGGTTACTTACTTTTTTAAGTTAAACCAACAATATTTTTTTACAGCATAAGATTGGTGTCAACATAAACTCAAATTTCTCTTTAAAGCAGGGTGGATTCTGATTGGTTGTCAATGTTTTTATCGCTCATCAGCTGAAAAAAAATTATTCTGCTATATCATCAACTATATTTTTATCATTATCGTTATCGTCTTTGGTGTGAATGGGCCTAAAGTCTCTCCAAAACACCTTTCCACAATTTATGAACGTTTTCATAATACAGTTTTTGAAACGGCTAATGAGCTTGTCTCTCAAACCCACATTGTTTCACTGCTATTGTTGAGGAGTACTTCTATATAAAGTCTTATTGGCTCATTATGGTTTGTTTCATCACCAGTTGCAGGACATTCTAGTCACAATTGTTTTATGGCCGTATTTACATATTTGCATAAGCTGATTGAGAAATGCTGCGTTTTCAATTCCCACCTTAATAAATGACGTGTGGTGTGACAGATATCTCATTAGAACAGCTGTTTAGCTGAATCAAAAACAGAGGAAACAGTTTCTAGAACAGGTAGTATATTAAAAAGTTTTACACCAATTTCCTATTTCAGTCACAATGGATTTGGATTTTCTGTTGATTTGATAGGATCACGACTAATGAAAGATGCTTGGCTTGTGTGCAGCATGTATGCAGATTGATTATGAATGTATCTTGGTGAGGCGCTGTCCTCCCCCGATATTGACAGTTTTAATGATAAATTGGAGAAAACCTGAACTGTCAATTAAGAAATGATTGAAGACATTGCTGTTAATAGGAGAATTAAAGTCAACATGAAATCAAAATGTGCTTTCTTTACGCATGTTGCTGGTCTTGTGACTCTTCAATTACACTATTTTTTATTATTTACACTACCGTTCAAAGTTTTGGGTCTGGAAGATTTTTAATGAGTTTGAAAGAAGTCTCATTTGCTCAACAAGGCTGCATTTATATGGTCAAAATACAGAAAAACAGCAATGTTGTGAATAAATATTATTACAATTTTAAATAAGTGTTTCTGCTGTAATAGATTTTACAATGTGTTTTATTCCTGTGATGGCAAAGCTGAATTTTCAGCATCATTACTTTCATTCCTCAGCGTCACATGATCCTCCAAAAATCATATGCTTATTTGCCGCTCAAGAATTATTTCTTATTATTATCGGAGTTAAACAGTTGTGCTGCTTTTGGGATTCTTTGATGAATAGTGCCTTTAGAAACAACTGCATTTATTTGAATTGAAATGAGACTTTTTATTTGCATTTTAATGCATCCTTGCAGAATAAAAGTGTATATATATATATATATATCCCATTACCTGAGACCCAGACACCACCTAATGAGATCCAGACCAAGGCCACATTTATGTGGTCACAAAAGGTCTCAAGACTAATACTGCCATATCATAACTCCAAATCTGCTTGTGTTAATTAAAAAACCCCAAGATAACACTCAAAAAATCATCTACTAATCTTTTATTGAAGAACTTTTATATTCGAGAGCTCAGGGACTGGTTGTTTGGAGTCTGAAATTGTGTTTCTCTTCAGGAATGAGTTCTGGATAAAATGTTCGGCGTCTCGAGGGACAGAAGTGGACATGTACCTGAGCTCACCATGTTTCTTCCTCATAATTACAGACCTTTTGACATCTCACATTAACCTATGACCCTCATACACTAAAACGGTCACGCTCGAACGCACACACACTTTCAGAATTCCTAATGAGGGATTTTTAATGAGACCGGACAGAGGAATTCTCTCACCATTCACTTGTGCATCTAGCATATGAGAAGAATCTGTATTATGGAGAATGTGTCTATCCTTTAGTCGTGTCATAAAGAGCTAACATGAATTGTTATTTTCTCAT